AAGTATGGATGATAATTGGGAATATGATTAAGTTGCAGTGGCTAGAACTCATTGTTTGTTATTAATGGAAGTAAAAAAATCAGCCCCTTAAAAAAAATGTTTTTCTCTTGATTTGGTAAAAAGAAAACAGCCTCAAACTTTGGGAATGGGGTCAGATACTGGCCACAGTACATTTAGTAGATAACTCACTGATAAAGTTATCCTACTCATTTTTCTGGTTGTACTAAGCGAATAATGACATGTCTGATCTGCCAAGTATATTTTATCAGTTACCTTGAAAACAAATGTTAATAGAGCAAACCTTTTACAAACTAGTACAAATCCATCTTGAAGCAGAAAATTATGTAAAACGGAATCTAACACATGACATAATTCAAACTTGCAGGGTAGAATAGGTGAGCCTAAATAATGTAAGATTACAGAAAAAGTTAAGGTATTCAACTGAATAATAGATTAGAAAAAAATAAACTAATGTCAGAAAATGTAAAAGAATTGTATATTTTCATAAAACCTATTATGAAGCTTGATATTGTCAAATTAGTCTTGACAGCTTGGTATTTCTAGCAGTTTTGTTTTTTGTTCTTTTCTGTGCCTACAAACACAATACACAGATCATTCCATCCACAGTTGCACATTCGTAGTAAGTTGATTTGTCCCTATCAAGCTTGCATTTTGAGAATTAACCACTGGTGACCTGATGCACTGAGATGGTTCTGTTTTGGTTGTTTTTCCCCATTGCTTTTATGTTGCTAGATATTATTAATATTATTACAAAATTCCTCATAGTTCTCAGTTTTTTGTATATCATCTAATTTGTTATAAAAATAAAAAATACCATCTCATCATTATGTGTGCACTTAGGTACATGTATCATTGAAGGTTTCAATGCATGTAGCAACTATAATGAGTTTAGAATATAAATGCTAATATGATTTGTTTCAGTTTGATTAATATGTTTTGGTAAGAAAAGTAATTTAATTTGGAACTTTAACTTTTACAGACCTAGCTTTTGATGGTAGAAAAAATTTACTGTTTATTTTCAAGTCTGTAAGCTTGTGTAGTAACTAGTCACAAAAAAGGTTTAATTCATGGGATTATGTACATTTTACTTGTTGCATAATCAGACTCTGCAGAGTATTTGGCTTAAGTTTTGATATTTACCATTCTGGAATAAATAGTAAGTTTGTTGTGTCTGAGAGTTATTTTTATATTTAGGGTTATTGAAACAAAACCTTAAAATATACATGCTCGTAACACTGAGTGTAATGAGCATTCAAAAACTTCCAATTTTAATTTTGTGGCCTTTTGTATTTTGACAACACTTTTTTCTTTCACAAGAACTTTGTTGTAGAGAGTAATAAATTCTGAGGTTACCATTTTATTAGATTACATCACCACCTTCTAGCCACTTATGAGTCTGGATCAACAAGGAAATTCCGTCAAGGACGCACAGAGACCATTCGATCAGCTTCTCCAGAAGCGTTAGACTTTTGTAGAAAAATGATGAGCAAAGAAGTGGGAACTGAGGAGAAAAAATCAGCTTTATATTCTGCCATTAATTCTCATAAAGAGTATAGCATTCAGGTAAACATTTTTGAAATGTTTATTGTAACCCACATGTTTAAATTTTAGAAAACTAAAATTATATACTGTTCAATAAAAAAAAAGCCTTTTATTGATAACCTTTAAATGGTTTTAACATTCACTGAGAATTTCCATTTTAATTTTATAACTTTTAACTAATCTTTTCCAACTTTTATACCACTCGTGTTCACAAAAGCGCTTAGTCAGATAAAAATCTTTATTGAACTTCCTAGTTTCATTTTCTGATAATCTTCACATTTGAAAAAAGTTGCAATCAATAACAGTTAACTCTTCAATCAGAACAATTCACCTTTCTTACACTTAGGATTTGAAACAAGAAAAAGGTAAGTCATAAATAGTACAGCTTCTAGCAGGTTTAGTGGATTGATTTATTAAACTATTCAACTACAACATTAATTTTGACTAACTGTCATCACCTTCATGGTACTTTATAAATATATAAGACAAAATAGTTGATAATTTATAATATCACTCACAATGATATTAAATAAACCCATTAATCCTAGCACATTTGAATGACAACATATTGTTACGTCTCTGGTCGTTTGTTAATTTTCGGTATAAATTCTTCCCGAGGAACTTCAGCAACACAAGTCATTTCTTTAAATAAAACTAGGTTATTCTTTCTCAATACAACTTTGCAATACACAGAATTTCCACAGTCACTTTAACTTACCCACACACTATAATTCACAACGATTCATGCACTTTACTTACGGTCACTACCGCTCACTTGACTCTATTATCTGTCTCCATATCTCTCTTCAATCTGCTATCTGCAATTATTATCTCTGCTTTATTTGCCGGGCTTATATATTAAAATAGAGCTTTCATGATCCTTCTAGAAACTCATCATGTGTTACCAGCGTCACTTCACTTCTGCTGTCGTAACAATATGAAAACAGGTAATATTCACATCGCTTACTAATAGGAATGTCATTTTGAGGAGCAGGAGGGGCAATCTCTCCCCACATTTCTTTTTCTAAAGGGGATTAAGTCCAGAAACCTTGCGTTCATCCGAAAATTGCGATTTACGCATTGGATAGTGGCAGCATCCAATAACATTTATGTCCCTTTGGCTGAAAACTAATTCAAACCATGTTATTATTGACTTTTATAAATAGGCTGGAAATTTTATAAGGTATTGTGATAATTATTAGGACATCATGAAAATAATTCTGGCAGAACAAGCCAAAAATATGGGTTTAAAGAGTTAAAGTAACTTATCACTCATAACTTCTTGATTCACTTACTTACTGAATCTTCATGTCTAGAAAAGTTAACAACTACTAACAAAAAACTATCAAAACAGTGTAGGAATTTTTGTTTTTAACTATCATCAAAATGATTTGTGTTCAGTCAAGGAAAATAATCTTCATTCTTAAAAAATCACAGCTAAGTAGTTATATAAAGAAAAATGTTACACATTTATGTCAGAAAAGCATACAGTAACATTATAGATTATTTTAGTGTTACATGTATAAGCAGCAGCTAACAAGGTTTAAAAATAGAGAATATATTAGGAGAAATCCATGCTTTTACATCATAATAACTATTTCTACAATTAGAGATCACAAGTAATAAGGTTTTGTCAAGAAACATAATGACACATTTACAAAAGTTGCCGTAATTTAGGGTTATCTGTAATCACTAATGATAATAACTTTGTTACTAATACTGATATATTTTTTAAGATTCTGTTCATTATAGATTAACTGATGTGAAAATTAAGAGATTTAGTCTAAACACTCAATTTTTGTGCTGTATCTCAACACTATACACATTAGGCATGCAATGGATTAGGAGTTGATCGACTGCTCTTAGGCCTAAGGAAAGCAGCCGAAGAATAGGGGAATGGATTCACCCAACTTCTTTTTAGATAAAGGTTATACTATGAGTACAAGTTTTCGCTTATCGACTAGCCAAGTAAGTGAAAATAAAACAATACTTGTACGTATGTATGTTTAGTTCATATAGTAAATTAATTATAGATGTTTGAGTTGAAAAAAGGTTAGTAGTAGTTACATAAATATGTAACAAACAGAATCTGTATTTGATTATTTCTTGGGGTGTGGGTTGGCCTTGTAGTAGAGCTCTTGACTTCTGAGCTGGCAAGCTGGGTTCAAATCTGTGCAGTACCTCAAAATAGTTTACCTTGATCAAAAAATTTTGGAGCTGTTGATCAGAATTTTATTATTGTGGAAATGGTAGTTGATTTGTGTATTCAATTCCCACCACATACTAGGTTATCAAATTTCTAGTTGTCGCATAATTTATCCTTGAATTGCCACATATTTGCTGCTAAACACTTCTAAATCTTGGATACATGGATTTCTGACAGAAGTAATTTTGTTTGATATTGTAATAGGGTAGCAATACATAATATTTATGATCAGTAAAAAGTCATTTATTGAAAAAATAAAACTTTAAAACTATGTTACATGCATTTGAAAGTTAAGAAGTAACATTTTTGTATATTTTCAATTTATAAATGTAATTTTTTGTGTTATAAGTAATTCTTATTAATTGTCCTAAGTTCTTATCATAATAGTAAACTAATAAAAGATTTTATTAAAAATAAATGTTATGATTAGTCTTTATTTTTGAACACTAGGCTAGTAAGTTACTAGAAACATACAGCACAAATCTTTTTTCTCTCTCTGTAGAATACTAAATTGTATATTTTGTTGAACTTGTATTTGTTTCAACAGGTAGGAAGTGAATATGACACTTATAGCTTTTTTGGCCCGACAGAACCAAATGGTTATGGGTGCTGTTACAATCCACATAAAAATGAGTTTATTTACACCGTTTCTGCTTTCAATGGCTGTCCAGAAACGAGCAGTTGTAAATTCATAGAAGCTTTAGATGCTAGCCTCACAGAAATGCAAAGCTTATTTCTTTGAACCTATGCTGAAAGTAATTAGTTTCCAAAAACTGATGAATTCTAAGCATAATTGAATGTCTTCTGCATCAGACTTGTTTAATGTTATGTTTATACACATTGCCAGAATTTTACAAGATTGTTTCTTGAATTTAAAACAGAATGAACTTGATAATACAAATTTTAAGTTCCTTGAAGTGCAATCTTTGACATGCAAATCAAAATTAAGTGCTACAAATTATGGAATATTATGAAATACTACAACTTGTACACAAAGTACATAAAATTTATATATGTATGCTCGTGTATTTTGTATTACATTTTTTACATGTTCAGTTATAAGTGCATAGTAGGAGTCTCAGCAATCTATCCTGTCTGAATATCTAAAATGTATCCATATAATGTAATTCTTATTAAGGATGCAGATGTAAACAGTTATAGTTTGTGAGATCGTTTATGAAACTACAATTGAGGTAAATTGTCTGTATAGCTTGTTTATCTATGTATGTATATATCTATATTTACTTGATTTTTGAACTCCTTCCTTGGGTTTTGACAAAAGACAAGTTTGATTACAAATTTTTGACTCCCACTGAATGTAAGTGAACAGGTATCAAAATTTTTGGGGTGGAGGATCTGAGGTTTGCTACAACTACTTTACTTAAAAACTGGAATTAAAATGTTTGGAGCCTTTCAAAACAATAACCTAAATTCAGATTTTAAAAAAGTTTAAAATGTTAGCTCGTATATAAGTCACAAAGGTTTTACATGGTTCTCGTAACTGGACTAACAAATTTACATAAAATTAGCATGGACAAGTAAGTCATTCAAAATAAATACCCGTGTTTAGATTTTTGAAATTTTTACACCCTCCAAAAAAAATGGGGATCATGGAGTCTTTTCTTTTTTAGGATTATCAGGATGGCAGTATTGATTTATAAGAAAATTAACAAGGACATACATATTTTCATAAAGGACATGTCCCGTAAAATTGTTAGATAGTCGTTGTTTCCCATCAATTTGCAAATGATTATTACATTTAGCATACAAGAAATCTCAAAATTGGGCCCAAAATTTATTTCAAATGGTATTGCCATTAAAATTCTATTTCATTGTATCATTTGATGTATGCTTTAAGCAGCCAAATAAAATAATGATTTTGTTCTTAGATGAGTATGGTTTTTGTTTTCCTGTTTTGACTCCTCTGTATAAAATAACCAACAAAGATAGCTATACAAAAACATTATAATATTCAAGTTGTTTCATAGGCCTTCCCACTTTTATGAAAATTTGACAATAATGTAATTTAATCAATTTAATACTACACAAACTTTTCTCTGCAGTTCACTGATATAACTAAATTCTAGCTTCTTTTGGTTAACTTTGCTCTTCCTGTAGCCTTCAAGTTCCTTTTCTTTTATCAGTGGTTCATCATGTAGCACATTTCACAACAAGGGTTATATGTCAATGACATCTTTCACTTTTAAATAAACTTATTTCAGTAGCATATAAAAACAAACATCAACTACTATAGTATCCATTGGAAAATAACAAGCAATGTTTGTTCTCATGAACACCATCTACAAGGATATTTATCACTGGTGTACAATTATCAGGTGTGTCTCACAGGAGTGACATTAACCAATTCAGACTGGCTCAGTTTTCTGGCTTAATACATAACTCGAGTTCATTCACTTTCTGAGCTCACAACAGCGTGTTCCACAGCCTTGGCTGTTTCTAACTTAGACTGTATATATCTGATACTCTGCATTTATGTTTGTCTTCAGATATTACTGCTAATATTCATCTGTTGTAGTATTGAAGGATGTATATTGACTTTCCTCTATTGATTCATTGTATAAATGTTTGTAGAAAAAAATTGGAAGACATCTGTAGTTTTAAAATTTTAAAAAATAGAATTCTTTACCTTTTGTAATATTTTGATTCCTATAGTAGCTCTCAGTGCTTTGATTCTTAATCAAATATTGTACATACATATATTCTGTTTTTATTCAATTATGACACACGCAACCTTTATAACATGTACAAACAGGACTATACTAGCAGAAAAAAGAAACTGTGCATCACTTAAAATTAAACATAATTTTAATTCTGCAGTATTGTTTACAAATGCATTAGTTACAAAATTTCGTAGTCAAGTAATGTTAATGTCACCAAACATAATTTTTAGGGCATTTGAAATACGCTGGTATTCAAAAGGAAACTTATATGGCTAATATCTCGTGTGTCTACCATTTGCATCCACACATGCTTGACAATGGTGCCTCATTGATGATACTGAATTGTTCAAAAAGGCCTGTGGAATGTTATTCCAGATGTTGGCTAATGCCATGCCCAGATCCCCCAACATTACTGGCTGATTTATTAGACAACATAAACGCCTTTCCATTTCATTGATCTCGGACATTTCCTGCTTGTTGGAACCATCACTATAAAGAGTGGATGGTGTTCCGATGGACTCTGAAATGTCTTGCAACAACGTTCTGTGCCACATCAGCCTGCAGCATTCTGACTGCACAAAGACGTTCATTTTCACTGAGCCTTGGCATCACACAAGGGTAATTCTCGGTGAAACAAAAATGATTTCCTGAATAACTGGAGCCTGAATAAACGTTTTACACCTGTTTATTCAGAAAACATTGTCAAAGAAAAATCATGGTTACGAAATTTGAATAAACAAAAAGGTGTTTACGAACCGTGAAAAATCCCATGCAACCGAGTCGAGTACTACCCGATATGTTTAATGACATATCCTGTATTGAATTTTCATATATCATAACACTGAACCTAATGTATATGAATTTTATTCCATTTTAAATCCTGCACAGTTTCTTTTTTCCATTAGTATATTAAAATATTAAGAAATTACCTGACATTGGATCAGGTAAGATGTGTATTTTCTAATAGACCTTTGGTGGTAATTGTGGTGTTTTATACATATCACAACTTTCTAGCCTTTCTATTCATGGTGTTAATATGATAGTGTTATAGGTTACTCTAAGGAACTTCAGTGTTTATACCAGCGGGATACTTGTGGCCACAAAAGATGGTGATGGTTTCTTCTAATCAGCATGTCTGTTGTTGAGTTTGTGGTTTTTATAGGATTTATGAACAGTCATATGTCACTGCTATGGGATGGTTACATCTTGTTTTCGATTTCACCTTTTCTAGAGCCTCTGGCTCTACACAGAATATTATCTTTGGTTTGACTCTTAAATTGGGCTGGATTCATAGTGTAGTTGTTAAAGAGAACTGGCAAGAGTGGTGATCCTTGAGGCACACCAATACTGATGGTGATCCAGTCTGACTGCCAGCTTCCACACTTCGTGATTCATCTTCTGGTTAGTACAGCTACCCCATTTTACATGTCACACTGATACCTATTCTGGGCATTTTGTCAACAATAATTGGTATTTGGACTCTTGTAGGCATCTTTCAGATCTGAAGCTACTAACAAGTTGTTCTGACCAGCATTAAAGCTTTACCATGTATCAGCTACCAATTCAACACCATCAATCTAGATTTCCCTTCCACTGTAATAACCACCTAATGGTAGTGGTGGTTCAATCTGATAGGTAAGTCAAAACTTGTGTTACACAATATATAACATGTAACTTTGCATTATGTACTGATTTAAACTTGAACTATTGAAAAATCTCACATGGTGAAATGCTTGCTACCTAATATGTAACCAACTACATGTACAGAATTTTATTGAACTTTAGTTTTTCAAATTTGGAAACAACTACATTTTATAATCATCATCTACTATACACATTAAAAACTGACAAAAGATAAAAACTATGGTCCATAAGCATAGTTCTAATACAAAATACGCTGATGAAGTGCTTCCTGTAATATTTGTCAAGGAAAAAATTTAGCTCTAAAAAATATTGCTGTTTGAGAGAAAATAAGTAGTAATGTTGTAGTTTCCTTTATCTGGTTCTCAAATAAAACTCTACAATGTAATTTTAATGCAAAATTTTAGAAGTAAAGCAGAAGAGAAAACACTTGGCAATAAAGTTTTAATAATACTAATTCCACCACTTATCTAGTAAGGGTACATTTATAGACTTCATAACACACTTAATTTGCCACACAATCATCAATTATCTAGAAACAGATATTAATACCTCAAAGAAAGGAAAAACTCTACCATAGAACTTTTTACCGGTATTTGTCAAAGTTTTTTTATTATTATTATTATTACTAAAACAGTAGTTAATATATTTTCTGTTGAATTTTGGAAAAAAAAGTATTATTTGTTATGCTAAACTGGTGCTAATACCTCTGGAAAAATTGTGGATTAGATTGATAAGAAGTGTGTTTGTGCTAATTAATATATTACTTGGTAGAAAAGATTGAAATCCTTTCTGTCAAACAAACATATACTTACACAAAAAAGTACATAAACAAGTTTTTTTATTTCCTATTAACAGGTATTTCTTCAACAAACTGCTTTTTATTTGAAAATACTAAAAAAGCTGTGAATTTGTTAAAACTACTTAAATGATTACACATACAAAACAAACAACTACCAGGTGTATCAGTAATCACTAAAATCCAAAATTTCTAATCACTATAAACACTAGTTATTATACAGGCTTTTTCAACATGAAGTGTTTAAAATAAAAGAGCAAGAAACATCCAGTAAGGACAGACAACTAGTAAAATTTATTTTTTAAAAATAGTAAGTTGGGAAAAGGTGTCAACTATTGCCTGGGCATTATTTATTATTACAACGACCTGTATGAAAAACTAAAATTTTCCACTTTAAATGTTTAAAAAGATCATTACTAAATAAGAATATTCACAAACTAAATTAAATTCAAATTAAATGCTTATAATAATTTCAAGGTCTGTAAAACATACATTTTTTTATGATACAAAATTGTTTTCAGACTCCAACAACAACATATTTGAAATTAACAAATTCCTTGAGAAGGACATAAGTTAGAAACATTTAGTATTGAATGCAAGTAGAATTTTTTTTAGATCTTACTGGTTTATTAATACAGAAATCTAATAAGTTATTTATATCTGTGGAAAGAGTATATATGTTATTTTTTAAGAACAAGAAATTTAGTGCACAGTGACCTTTTGTTACTCCAATAGTAAACAGAGTAAAGTAAAATGAATAAATTCTGTTAGGTCAGGGAACCATTCAAGGTATTTATTTTTAGTGATAGATTTTAATGAATCATGGACCCTATAGTCAGACCCTATCCAACAGTAAAGTTCTGCTATGGCTTTTACTTTATTCTAAAAGTTGTGATATGCTGTTTCGTTATTTCAATTACATATTAATTATGGTTCTGTTCTGTATTACAGCAACTACTAACGATTGATATTAAATTTGACCAATTATATTTATATTTTTTTAGCCTCGGCTCATAGAATAGCTCTGAGTATTTTTTCAAGTACAAGCTTTTGCTCATAGCTCCATCTCTTGATCGATTTGAGATCTAATTACAGCCACAACTATTAAGGATTCCCTCATTTTCCTCTTGAACAATTTTTACTAATAACTTGATTTTTCTTGACTTTAAATGACTAAGATTCTACTTACAAATGTCCCCTATTCTGATGCCCTTCAACCACTTTTGATTTCTAAAGCATTATGTATAACAAAAAATTGGTTTGTAAAATGAGCAGTGTTCTGAAAATCATGGTGTAAATATATATGATTATAATGTTTCAAGCAAGTTGAAAACTCACTGATGCTGCAAAAAAGAAAAAGAACTGGATTTGTTAGAATATTGCACAAACAATTTTTATATTTGAAGCTTTAGATTTATGCATTTATAGTTGTTAATTCTAGATCAAACTTAAAGTAATGACATCAAACATTTACAGCCAATGCTGAAACATTTCCCGATATTTGTTAAGCTATAACAATCATATGTATTGATTTCATAAACTTTTTTTTGCCAAAGGAAGTAAAAGAACTCACAAAACAATCCTTTAAGCATCATACTTACAGATCCAAATCATCTAATTATACATCAATTTTCTAATCTAGAATTCATACAAAAATACCTGCAACTCTTTCCTTATTTTATCACAGTCTATTTAGACTCTTATATCATAGCTAGCTTGATCAGATTACCTGATTATCATTTTGTAACATATTACAGTTTAGATCCCTGAACTGTTAACAATACATCGTGCATCTCCATCAGACTCATCTCAAGAGCAACTTTAAACTTAGTGGAGTGTGTCTCAGGACTGCTATTACAAGCAGAAAGCCCAAAGATTATACCATCTGTACGTGGATTATAGCAACAACCATAACCATCAGGAACAAGTGGTCCATAAGAGACACATATGTCATAAATACCTGGTACCTGTAAAAAAGAAGAAGAAAAAACGTTAATGACTAAATCTTTCATACAAGAACATACAAGTATAAATATTGTGTGTGTGGGGGGGGGGGGGGTATACATATATAAGCTTTCATAATCTTTGCACCTCATTAAAAGGTAAAGTTTTATATTTATCTACATTCTAAATACTGATATGACCACATTAATCCTCTCATTGCAGGTGGATCAAAGTGCACGTCACAACATTTTATAGTTACATTCAAATTCTAATTAAACTACCTTAATATCAATTAAACTTGGCATCAAAACATAGTTCATAAATCAAATTTTTATATTTTATAAGGGACATTGTAAATGAATCCTCAATCTCCCCTAAAATGAAAATTGTAACAACTGTTTTCTAGGTCTTCCTCCTTCTCTAGTATATTTACCACCCCTCTCTAAAGTACAGAATTAAATGAAAATTACTCATTATAATATAGTTATTATTAAAGCAAAGTCTAATGTTCATAGCCTTCAATCTTCTTTGTTTATGGTAGCATAAATTAAAAAATCAGACCCACTTACCACACTCACCTGTCACATCCTCTCTTTCACAAATTGTCAATAATTCTCTCTGACATTTTATATAATTTATTACCAATAGAAAGGTAGTGTTATAATCTCACAAATAACATATAATGCTACACTGTTTTCAGTACACAGTATTGTCAATTTTGTCTTCAATTTGAAAGTTTAATTCACAGTGTTCAGATCAAGTAGCTTAGGTTATTATCTCTCACTACAGGGTTGGTTGAATTGCCTGAGTTTGTAACCATTTTGTACTCATTATAATTTCCATATTACAACTTTTAATACAGTATGTGTATCTTCACAAAATTTTGTAGACTTTCAGTAAACTTTACAAGTCTTTTGAACACAGAAAATCAGATTTTTAATGAAGTATTTTTACAAAGGATTTGTCTGTGAATATACCGAGTCTTTTCTTTTGTCTAGCCTAAATACAAAGAAATTTTTATGTTAAGATTAAAAATATTTTCCATCTCTAAACACCCAAATTTCATCTGTGTGAACTCTAAAACTTTCTAAATAAATTTCAAACATTTTGTTTCAGTAAAACTTTATATTTTATCGGTTATTTTCTCTACCCCAACTTTATACAAAGTTGATCAATTTGATAAAACCTAGTAACCACCAAAAAAGAATTAAATAAATCTACATTACCTCTGTTTTTCTTGCTAGAATGATTTCAAATTGTAACATGAAAGCTAATATTTTCTAACTCTGAAAATGTATTTCTGATAATTACTTAACACCTTTCACCCAAGACTATCTCCACCTTGATTTGCCCTCTAAGCACTAGTATTTTATACCCCTTCATTTTTGTGCCGTTGCAGCAACATGTGATGATCATGTGACTACTCTCCACCAATCAAACTGTGCCACCTATACTAGTGCAGGTAGCTCCTACCATTGTAGCACAATCCCCACTTTCGAGATTTCACAGATACAAACCAGAAACACCAGCAAATCAGGGGGGAGAAAGGGTCAGAAGTGGGTGAGAGGAGGTAAGTACCTATCAGAAATATATTTTAAGTATTAAAAAATGTTAACTTCTGAAACGGTACTTCCTCCGCTCACCCACATTGCAAAGGTGGAGGGGCTGGTGAAGGTGCAAAAATAATCAAACAAGCAGAGAACAACAGTGGAATCTCCTTGCATAACATTGTAAGATCAATAAGTGTGGTCAGCCTAGGCAAAACATCTGAGGGAAACACCTTGGTATACATTGGATTATGTCAACTACAATCCACCCGAACAGAAAACTTTCAGTGGAAGTGCCTTGCATATTATTTTTTGTTTCATATTTTGTATGTAACAGATTGTGTGATCAACAAGTGCAGTTAGCCCAGGCAAAAACATCCAAGAGAAACACCTTGTGATACTATGGAGTATGTAAAGTGCAGTCCATCCAGGCAGAAAACATCCAGTGGAAGCACCTTGCATAAGATCAATCGTATTATATTTTGAAAGTAATATATTTAGAGATCAACAAGTGCAGTCCACCCAAACAAAAAACATCTGAGGGAAGCACCTTGTAATATGATGTAGTATGACAAGTGCAGTCCATCCAGAAGTGCTTAGCATAAAATTGTTTGCTTCATATCTTGTATGTAGGTTATTTAGACATCAACAAGTGTGGTCCACCCAGACAAGAAACATCCAGGGGAAGCACCTTGTGATATTATTGAGTATGTCAGGCGTGGTCTAGGTGGGAAGAAAAGATCCAGTGGATGCACCTTGCATAAAATGAAAAATTATTTTGTGAGCAACAAGTGTGGTTAGCCTGGGCAAAAACATCCAGGGGAAGCACCTTGTGATATTATTTAGTAAGTCAAGCATGGTCTATCTGGGAAGAAAACATCCAGTGGAAGCACCTTGCATAAAATGAAAAATTATTTTGTGAGCAACAACTGTGGTTAGCCCGGGCAAAAACATACATGGGAAGCACCATGTGATATTATTGGGTATGTCAAGCATGGTCTATCTGGGAAGAAAACATACAGTGGAAGCACCTTGCATAAAATGAAAAATTATTTTGTGAGCAACAAGTGTGGTTAGCCCGGGCAAAAACATCCAGAGGAAGCCCCTTGTGATATTATTGAGTATGTCAAGTGTGGTCTAGCTGTGCAAAAAACATCCGGGAGAAGCACCTTGGATTGAGCATATTATGATATTGTATGATATGAAATATACTAATGATAGCCCTCTTCTGATACAGTGGGTACATATGACTATGAAATTTGTTTTATCATACAAATCCCTCTCCAGAGGAAACCTCCAGGGTCCACCACTCCAGCAACTGGGAACTAGAAATGGCAAGGACTTCCATGCTCCACCAGAAGAAAAGGGGGGGGATATGTGTTGGAGAGACCAAAGGAATGACATACTGGAGACCGTGCCATGGGTGTCTGTGATTCCCTATTTTGAAAAGTAAAAAGACCCTGATTGTAAGAATCATGGGGCAGTAAGGATGGGAAAAAATCTCCATCTTCTTTACTCTTGAAGTCCATGAGTGACAGTCCTTTATATATGATACAGTGATAATAATATATACATATATATATATACACACACACACACACACACACACACACACACAGATAAGTAGCTGGTGGTCTTATAGAAACACCCCATCTCCACAGTGAGCATTATGGAAGTATATGGAGTTAGTGCCAAGATATATTACTCAGTATACCTGATAAGGCAACACCCGCAACCAGGTGGGATCCTCAAATATGATGTATATCAACAAATTAATGTAAAAAAGAATAATATGTCAATTTGCCCAAAGTGAGCGTTATGGAAGTATATGGAGTTAGTGCCAAGATATATTATTCAGTATACCTGATAAGGCAACACCCGCAACAGGTGGGATCCTCAAATATGATGTATATCAACAAATTAATGTAAAAAAGAATAATATGTCAATTTGCCCCAGGCAAAGGCGAATAGGCATGTGTACAGGAGGAAGACAATACCCACTTGAGGAAAACGCAGCTATGTTGTGCTGATAAAGAGTGACAAATGTATTTGGAGTTGTTCTCATACCAGCCTGAATGATCTCCACCAAAAGACGGAGGTTGTGAGCAGCTAAAGACATAGTTAGATGACAAATTTGGTGTGAAGAAACATGATGTAGACAGCAACTGTCCATGGACACGTCAAAATATGCCTGTCATATGAGTTGAAGAACACAACTAGGGAATGTAATAGGTGAAAAGATCACAGGAAACAGAGAAATTCCATGGAAGAAAGAGGCAGGAACGAGGACCACTAAAGGAGGCAGTACGAGCCAAATAACACAGCAGGTAATGAACTGGACAAATTAGACAATCTGGATCCAAATGGGAGAGCAGATGGGAAAAGGAAGGTAAGGAAACAGGAGAAAAAGCCCAACAACTTTCCTGGGCAGTTTATGTCCTGGGAAGGAAGGCCCTATCTGGACAGCAGATAGCATATGAGGAATGGTAATGCAGGAAACATTAATGGCATAAATATCAGAATGACGACGACCACATGCCAGGAGAGGAAGGAAATAGGTCTTAAGGGAAAATGATACAAGGAACACATTGCAATGGGTTCAAAGAGAGAACCGGACAGGGCATGAAAGACAACACTGAGATCCCAAACTGGCAGAAAAAAGGAACATACAAGATAGACCAGACAAAAGGAATGTAAAAGAAGGAAAATAACCGGGGAAGAGAAGGCATTCCAGAAGAGGGAGAAAGGAAGGTGTTCAACAGAGTAGACCTGAAAAGAGCAACAGTTGAAACAGACAAACCCTGAACAAACAATCAGATGATGAACTGGGACAGGAAGGACGGGATGACCGGAAGCTATGGCCAATAGACATAAGCTTAAGACCAAAGCCTCTGGTACCTAGACGAGGAAGAAGAGTGAATAGTACAGGCAAGGAAAGACACTACATGAGGGGTGATCCCAGGGTTGAGGCAAAGGACCTGGAGTGTGGTGACATTGGGATGAAAAACATTCAATAGCGGTTGTTGGAGGAATGATCACGACAGAGATAAGGGCAGGGGATTTAGCTCCAGTAAGGGCCAGAGCAGAAGGAATCACATTTGAGCCAGCCAATATGTAGCAACCAGCTGAAAACAACAAGTAGTGATCTGGAAAAGGGAAAAACACAGAAGAGGAGAAGAGTCTTATCGAAGGGTAGGCCTATAGATGAAGACCCCTCCAATCTGAACTGAAAGCATCCACCCCTAAAGAAGAAGAGTGAGGAACTGAAAACCAAAAAGGAAGGAAGTTTAACATTCCAGTGAGTGGGAAATGCACATATATGTGGAGTTCCCAGTTGAGAACACACCCACAAAAAAACTGAGGATGAAGGAACCACTCTGTCAGGAGAACCTGGTTGGGACATGATAAGCAATCAGCCACAAGATTCATAACTCTGAGAACATGACATGTCAGAACAGTCATGTTGTGGTCATTGGTCTAGTACAGGAGATTCAGAGTCTGGAAACACAGAAATACATTTTCCGAGTTAAAAAATATTAACTTTCATGTTACAATCCAAAATCATTCTAGAAAGAAAAAAAAGAAGTAATTTAGATTTATTTAATTTCTTTTCTTTTTTTTGGTGATTACATGAATTTGTCAAATTGATCAACTTTGTATAAAGTTAGGGTAGAGAAAATAACAAAATATAAAGTTGTTGAAAATTTTAGCAATGCTTAGAAGGCAAATCAAGGTTGAGATGGTTTGGGTGAAGGGAGGTAGTACTGTTTCAAAACTACATTTGCTTATACTTAAATGTTATTGTTTTATTGCCCTTTGAACCATGTCTAACCAATATTCATACCATGTAAGTTGTAAATCACATGGCAAAAGTCCAGATCACTTTAAGGTATCAAATAACATAATGCATGGACTACTTACGAGCTGTTCATGAGCATATATCATGAAAAATTATTATTATTCTTTATTTTACATTATCTAACCCAAAGAAATTTTCATTTTTTACATTTTTAGTTACATTTATAATAATAAATAAAGAATACACATGATGAACAAGAAATAAAGTACTTACCTGGGTCTTCTTTTTTTATACGTTTGACTGTCAATGACACTTAACCCCACTTTTCTTTATACTAATAATACTACTGCACTAAATGATTATTTTATTTAAATACTGCACCAAAGAACATAGAATACCCACATGCAAAAAGTAAAAAATGACTCATAACTATTACAATTTTTCTGTCTTTCTAACTATGTGACAAGAGCCTTTAAAAATTCAGATAAACTTGTCAATGTGTTTCCTGTGGGAATAAAGTTTGAACTGAATGCCAAATTGAGATTTCTCGGTACAGAAAACAATGTAACATAATACATCTTTTGATAGATTAAAACCTTGGTTTTCTATTGGTTATAAATAATATAGTATTAAATATCAGAGAGAACTATTGGCAATTTCTGAAAGAGAGGAAATAACAGGTGGCCATGGCAAGAGGGGTCTGATTTTCTATTGTATTGCCCTGTAACTAAATAAGATTGAAGGCTATGAAAATTATACTTTGCCTGAGTATTGGATATACAACAGTTTCGTGTAAGTGTTATTATTAAGTTTATTTCATGACTTAATATTTAATGATTGTTTAGTTTTTTAAGTACAGGAGCATTGAAAATGGATTGTTTTAAAAGTGTTAGTTGTGACGAATTTTGTTACGTAACTCTGCACGAGTCATACATTGTGTTTGTAATTACATTGTTGTCCAGGCATTACTAATATTGTTGATGTCACATTGCTCAAATCTTAGATATTTTTCTCGTTACTTTAAGTGAGTATTGTTACCTTACAGTGCCGCTTGCATAGTTTAGAGAAAGTTTGAAGCTTCAGTGAACAACATATAAATATAGGCAACCAAGCGAGTGCAAGTCAAGTGCAGTACAGTCAGAAAATTACTTAGTGAAAGAAAAGTTAGCTGGCGTGTAAGTGATTAGCTGTAATGGGTGATATTTTAAAGTGAGTTTCACAGTTTAATAGAGATAAGGAGAATAATTTGCCTTGTCAAGGGATGTTCTAAAGTAATTGGACCTGTCTGTGTGAACTTTGACAAAAAGGAAACAATTATTTAAAGTTGGAGATACAACTGTGTTAACCTCGAGAGAAACATAACTGATTTTACCATAGATTGTACAGTAAGAAACAGAATACAGAAAAATAATTTATCAATTACATTCTAAGGTAACTGAATCAGCCTGAGTGGACTTTTGACAGGAAAGAGAATTATTTAGAGTTTTAGATACAACTGTGATATGCTACAGTGTAAAGAATTTTTGTATATATGTTTCACTAATTTTAAATATATTATTCTAAAACAAGTGGATTGTGTGCTGTCCGTTTATTGTTTGAATTTATTGCCAAAAAGTCAGAGACACCTACTGTAGAAGAATCCCAGCCCACACATATACTTAAAACCATGTCAATAAGTGATGATAATATAATATGTAATTTACATTAAATTTCATACTTTTTGGAGGGGTGGTAAATAAATTAGAGGAGAGAGAATGCCTAAACAGAAAATTTACAATTTTTCTTAATATTGCCTAATAAAATTAAGAACTTAAAACTTATCATACTATGAAACATTAGTTTATTAGCTGCATTTTTATGCCAAATTTATTTGTATACCATGATAACAAAGCAGTGTAACTCACTAAAACCTCATGACGTGCTGGAGATGCCCATGGAGGGAGAGTTAAGCCCTCTTGCTTTACTTAGAAAGCCAGTTAAATTATAATAATCATGGGAAATTGTCTGCTTTGTGCTTGTTATTATTCTGAAATATGAAAAAAGTAGGCTTAAATTTCATAAGCAACTGACAACAACAAACAAAAAAGATCAAATATATATATATATATATATACTATATTCCCCTTTTTCATGTATATTTATTTATTTATTATAAAAGTAACTAAGATGTAAAAATTAGAAACTTACTAGATAATTAAGATAATAAAAAATTATAATAAACATTCTTGATGATGTATGCTCATAGTTGCTTGTGTGTGTTATGTAATTCAATATAGCAACATAAGATACATATTCACCAAGTGCCTTAAAACTTGCATGGTAGGATTAGTAGTTATACAAAGTACAAAGGGCAATAAAACAATTAAATTTAGTACAAACAGATATATACTGTTACTAGCTTTAAACTATTTAAGATACAAAATTTAATAGTTTTTTAGTTACAATATGAAGTCATTATAGACAGAAAAAAAAAAAGATAATTTAGATTTATTTCATCTTTTTTATGATAGTTGTATGAATGGTTAAATTGATCAAGTCCATACTGAGTAAGGGTAGAGAAAATAACATATAAAATATAAAATTTCACTTGAAAAAAAATTTTGTATATTTTTAGAAAGGTTTTAGAGGTTACACAAATAAAAGTTAAAAGTCTTTAGATCAAGAAAGTATTTTTCATCTTAACATGAAAATCACTTGGCACTTGGAGCAGTCAACACTCTGCCTCCATATTATCACAAACAAATCTTTAATAAAAATAACTATTTAAAAATTCTGATTTTTTGTGTACAAAGTGCTTGTAATGTTTAATGAAAGCTTAACAAAACCTTTTTTATTTAATCTACAACATTTAGTTTATTAGTTTAGTCATAATTGCAACTAATTCTTTCAACCAATGGATCCTTCACAGTTATATTTTAAGCCTAATTTAACTTAGTAACATATCTCACTTGACTGGTGGACAAACGGAAGTGGGTACTAGCATTATATCCAGTGTCCAGAAAGATTTGTGGAACATCCATGCCATTCTCCACAGCCAGTTTCTTAAGTCCAAGGAGAAATCTGTCAACTCCATGACCATTTGTAGCCTTAAAAAATAAAAAGTACATTAATAGATTAAGACACATTTTAAAATTCACTTGCTAGATGGGAACTCAAAAACTGTTTTAAACATTCAGATGTTCAACAGGTCACATTCATGCTGTGGCAGATTATTTTTCTCTTCCTAACAGAAACCATCTGACAGATATATAACATAGTTTAAGTTACCTGCAAATGTTTTATTTCATTTATATGGATTATCTTAAAATAAATGGGTTTTCAATCAAATAAATTTTAAGTTATGTGACATCATCAGTAAGTTATGCATATTAGTTCTATAGAAAGTATGAAACTTCAAAGGTCAAAATCTACCCTTTGTTAGTGCCCAATAAATAGATAAGCACATCTCTTCACGAAATTTACCACAGGATTTAAATTATTTTAAAAATATTCCTATGTTATAATCATAACTACTTATGTAATAAAAGAAAAACCTTGAATGGTTACTTATAAAATAAGTAGATCTGGAAATGTGATTATAAGTTTGTTCAAGATTTTCTCATTGTGCAAAATACTCAAACTACAAATAAAAGCTTACAAGCTGGGGTGGAGGCAGGCACCAAACAGACAAAATATTCAAAACCTTTTTCTGTTATTATCATTATTCAGCAGTTAGTAATGCTCAATTGATGAAGCAGTTAATCTTTTAACTCTTCAAATGTGTTTCAGAGAGGCATAACCAAAAACATCTTGGTTACATTAAAACATTGCTAAAAAATTAAAATAGATAAAAAAAACATCAACTCTTACTGTGCAGTAGAATGAAGTATAATGTTTAACTAATAAAACAGATTAGTATTACAAAACATAACTTTTATAAAAGATATTCACTAAACAGTGTTATAAGAAAGAGAGAGAGAGGGAAAAAAACTAATTTATTTTTCACAAAAAGACAAGTAAAAAAATGTCGAATTTTAAGTGGGTAAATGCCAAGCCTTAAATTAGTGTGCACAATTTTATTATTAATAAATTGATCTGACTATTAAATAAAAAAAATTCTACATGCAAATATTTTATTAGAGTCCTTCTAATGAATTTCAACAGAATCATTTTATGGCAGATTGTAAAACTGCTGGAACTACCAAAATATGAGTGCAGCAGTGAAGTTCACTTGTCTGGAGCAGATCAAAAGGATGTCCATTCTCAGAGCAGCAAATATAAAAATCAAAACAGTACAAAATGAAGAGATAATTCATCTAACAAAGACAAAATTATTAGCAGTGGTTACAGTTTATTCAAACTTCTTAAATGTCTATCAACAGTTAAGATGTTTCTCTATTCAGTACCCAGTTTCACAGGACTTTATGGCTTACAACATTATTAAAAGAATCACAAGTTTTACAGAACTGTTCTTAAAAAGGTATGCAAAGTTTAATTTCTTTCAATAGTAGATATAAATAATCATAGTTTTCTGTTTTCAAATACCTGTAAGCCATATTCTTTGTGAGCATCTATAGCTGTGCGCAAAGCTGAAGCTTTGACATGAGGGGGAGAACTGGAGTCCATCATCTGTTTGCAAAAGTCCAGAGACTCTATAGATGAGGAACGGATGTTCTCTGTTCGACCATGAAGAAACTTGCGTATTGATCCAGACTCATAAGTAGCTGCAGGTTGCCCATGTAACCTAAATATAGTCACTGTCATTTATTATACTAGCTTTTTGCATTGAAGCTTACTCAAATGTACTTGATTTTAAAAGACTACTGTAATGTGAAAGTCTGGTTTGATTGACATCTTTACTCATAAACAAGAAATATAACAAAAAATTTCAATTTATTACTGGTAATAATAAACAGCTATTTAACTTCAACAAATTAAAGTCCACTTAGGGAGTAACTATTACAGATCCTTCATTACTTTAACCCTCTTGCTATGGGCTCTGTGCATTACTGTCCTTGTGACCCCAAAGTGACCATTAGAATTTCCACACTATAACATTTTGTGCATCTACAAAAAATTTTTCAAGCTTTTAGTAAACATTACAAGTCTTTTGTAGACAAAAAAAATCAGAATTTTTAATTACGTATTTTTGCTAAAAATTTATCTGAGAATATATGAAGTCAGAGTGTTGACTGTTCCGAGTGCAAAGTGATTTTCATTTTAAGATTAAAATACTTTTCTTCATATATTTTTAAAAGAGGACACTTTATATTAGCAATATGTTTATAAATATGCTTATAAAGACAAAACATATAAAAATTAATGATTTTATTGGTAGGTAAGTAAAAGTCATTTTGCGTTACATATGTCAATTTTTGTGATTCATACAGAAAGGATCAACTATGTTTTGATGCTAAATTTATTTGTAGACAATGATTATACAGTAGCTTAATTAAATTTTGAATGTAACTCTCTGAAAAGTCATGACATGCACACTTTGACCTACCCATAGTGAGAGGATTAAGCATGAATTTCGTTTCTTCTATTCACAGTTACAATCAAATGTGGCTATGCTTATTATCAAACTTGTTGATATTTAAGTTGTTACAAAGTTTACTAGCAATACTAGTGAGCTAAGGGATTGAAGAAGTTTCAGGTTCAATCACTAGCTTAGATGAAAATATAGAATTCCCATGCTTTATGACTATCCAGCAGAATAACTACAAATCATTATGAAAAAGGACAAAACCAACTGAAAGTTACAAAGGAATCATAACTCTCAGCTAATTTGTTCACTCAATTAGAGAATTCAGATATAACAACATGATTTCAGATTGTCATGTGAGCTCAACCACTGTAGAAGTCAATTCTTCTCTAAAACAATCAGGTTGAAAACATTCATGAAGAACTCAGAAACACAACCAAACTGTCATTTAAACACATTAAATTTCAAGACTTAGCCAATAATTTAGCCCAGACAAAACTATATTTATAGCTTCAACCCTTAATTCTATCTTATAAATGATACAGCAGACTATTTTAGAACAAAAAATACATCAACAATATTTAATAAGGGAAAATTACAAATTTTACCAATTTTATAAAATTTCACAATTTTTATTTGTCTCTAAGCCTAAATACCTTAAATTTAGTGTTCAGAATGCTACAAGCTGATTATAAATCAAACTTGGTCAATGACAGAAAAATGAGTCCAAGTAATAGTAATTGTTTGTAATTAAGCACAAAGCTACACAATGGGCTACCTGTGCTCTGCCCACCACTGGTATCGAAACCTGGATTCTAGCATTGTAAGTCCACAGATATACCGCTGTGCCACTGGGGGGCACTAATAGTAATATCAATTATTTTAATCATCATACTGTGAAAAACTGTTACTTTAACAATACTTGTTTTAAGCTTTTAGATGATATAGGAGACTTTTTAACTTCTTAAAACAAGACATAAATAAATTATAGGATGGTTTTACTTTATGTTTCTATTTTTGTCTCTACAGAACATAAAACACCACCAAAGGAATGCTAGAAATTCTTTTCCTCCACCTACTGGCTCACTTGTCAAACTCTGATGTCATACTTATAAGAACTTGCCACTAGTATTTCTGTATTAAAAATCATTATATAAGAGGTTTTAATTTGACCTATCAGTATCACATTAAAATGAAAACAATAGTTATTCACAACAAAAACTGAGTCTAATTCACTATTAGGGTGAAATTGTTAATCCAAGCTTATAAGTAGAACACAATAATTTTTAAGATATCTTTTGGTATTTGAAGATTCAAATGAGTATGTCCAACCAATACAAAAACAGCCAATAATTTTACAAAATGCAAGTTCACAACAAACATGAAATGACATCAACTGACCCTGCTAAAATGAAAATGTCAAACAGTTATTCCTCTGGGAAACACATTATTTTTATAACTATTAGTGAATATACATATATTTCTAACTTTAATGAAAATTAAGATACAATTTAAAGGTCCTTACCTGTAAAAAGCCAACTGAATTGCCATTTGAATAAAACTATCAGGACTCAACTTCTGCAATTTTATAAACTCTTTACCATAGCCATTAAACTTGAAAACAGTCATTTCTAAATCTTTGACCATCCTGTAAGGTTTAAAAGAAATATTTAGCTCTAAAAGGTGTAATACCCCTTGACAAAATGTTATACTTCAATTTACAACTGACCAATGGAAATTCAAAGTTTTAATTTACTCTGATTTCAATAGTCTAACTCTACTAACATGCAATTGCAATTTATGACATTTTACAAATGTAGTGAAGTGCTTACTTCCTCATTGGTTCTTCAAATTGTAATATTCTATGGATAAGTTACTTTGGGCCAAAGCACTGACAAGTTCATGATATGCACATGATTATCTTGATATACTTGATGTTGTGAATGGGCTACAGAACAAAGAGCTACAGTGAAAAGGTAGGTTTAGAAGTAAAGTATCTACCTGTAACATTTTCTTTGCTGCTTGGTGACTTAACTTTACCAAACTTGCAGAGATAAGAATATAAAAGTTATATATTTCAACTGTGAAGATATTTGTCATTAAATGTAATTAGAACATTGTTCAATGTCTAAACTCATCCAGTGTTTTTTAAGTATTTATTAATTATGCATGTATTATGTATTAATTATGATTATTTTTTAAAGCAAATTCCATTCACTTTTAATCTTCAGAGTTAAAAACATACTTCATCAGATCTCCATTCATCAAGAACACAAAACATCTTGTTTTGTAATCTATTTATGCAGTACATTTTATGTTTCACTGTGAATAAAGAAAACCTTGTTATATGTGAATCAGTCTACTTTCTAACCAGGTTAGTCAACTTTGACTTCTACGTATATACTGTAAGAGACACTCGGATGAAAAATATACCACAATACACATAGTAAAATCAATCAAACAGGATGAGATACTTCTAATGTTTTTAAAGCAAAAAATGTTTTATTAAACTCAAATAATACACCTGTAAATAATTTTTCTTAGATAAATAATCAGCAACAAGAGCAAAGAAACACTTACAACACAAAAATAACCTGTTTCCTTTGTCCCACTTCAAAAAGAAATTCAGCTTATTAAAATAGCCTCTAATAACCAACTTTATAACTGAAAACTATTGATACCAGTAACATTTAAACTTTAGAAAACACAAAAACTTACTTATCCAAGTCTTGCATGGCCTCATCAATGTCATCTATAGTTTCAGGAGAAAGTCTAAACTTTAGACGCTGAGGAGGCTTGACATTAGTAGATGGTAACCAATGACTACTGGAAGACTTTTTGCTGTAAATGTTCAAATGTATACTAATAAGCCAACAAGTTATAATTGTTAAATAACTTTTGAACTGCTCATGAAAGGCTTGTTATATGAAATTTATAAACATAATCACATGTCATAAATATGTAAATAATTTGGTGTTGTGGAACACAAGACACAAATACACCACTGAAAGAACCACACAATATGTTATTAAGAAATGGGATCATATTCCTATGTAATAATCAGACTAGGCTTGATGAGTATTCTGAATTCTTTCAAATTTCAAACAAAACTTTTCGCTTGTCCCAGGTTCCAGCCTATATATGCTGGGAAGCCAGAGGCTGCCTCAAGCCCTCGGAAGTTAGAGGGGTCTGGGTGCTCTCTGGTGCATTCTAGGACATTTTGAGGCACATTATTTACTGCTAGGATGATCAGTAAGCACTTTAACTTATTTGCCAATGATCAAAATTACATATCAGTTAGTATACAAACTGGTCATGTCATGAAAAATTTGAACAGATTCTGCATACAAGCTTTTATAAATGCAATGATTAGACCAGCTAAGCACAAACTGTTCATTTCATGAAATACTGAGAAAATATTTTAACCAACAAGTTTCCACTAAGGCAAACTACTGACCAATGCTTTCAAAAACTGAATCTTTTAAAAGGCAGATAAGGCATATTGTATATGTTCATTCATGAAACTTTGCCTATCATACTAGACTTTTTTTTTCAATTCTAAAGCAAGTTGATGCATGCTGTAATTTGTATGCATTGTGACCTTTATTCAATAACTTTGGGCTAATAAAGGGACGTGATAATGTAATGATAGATAATGCAGGAGATTTTTGTCCAAATTAGACTCCATCAAAGTGCTTTCACATATAAAAATAATGTCTGATAAAAGAAAAATATCTATTCTATGTAATTCTAAACAAAAACACAAAAATCTCACACCATTAAGGTAGATGGCAAAAGATTTAATTAAAGCCTACGTCTATACTGGCCTTTTTGATGGTCTACCATTACACTTTAAAAAGTTCATGAATTTCTTAAGTGTTCAGATACCTTTGGTTTCAAAAGGCATTTTGCAATTGGGTGGCTATTCATCAATCACTCAGTTAAATGGAGCCTTTAGATACCAATTTCAGTTTAGCGTAAAAAGTAGACAACATTATGTTGCATTGAGCTTACTACTATTATTACTTCTTCTCTAGCTACACCACCCCCACCCCCTCCAATATTTCTCTATAAAATTTTACCAAACTAGGTGGATGGCCGACATGGCAATAGAAATGGCAGCCAATTTCTAATGTCACTGTAAATTGTAATGATTACATTTTCCAAACATCAGTATAACAGCTTTTTGACTTTGCAAAATAGCTTGAAAGCTTCTCTGAAATTAATAAATAAACCCTCTTTAAACAGAAAATACAAAAGAAGAAGAAAGCTAAAAATAAAACTTACTGAGACAATCTGTCTGCAAGTAATTCTGGAGCTAACAAGACTAACCATAACTAATATAGCTGGAAGTTACTATTCGAAACTAAATTCAAAGATTTCTAGGGGATTGAGTATGTTTATGTGTTTAAGTTGAATTCTGCCATTTGAAAAGCGAAGTTATTGTCAGCTCTTCGTATTTGTAATTTAATGAGGTCTACTTATGAGTTAGTGAACCAACAAATTGAAAAATCAATATTTCTACATTGATATAATTTAATGACTGTTGCATTGTAAATAGGTGAATAAAGGTACATTTCTTTGTTTCAGATATTGTTGCAAAGCTATACAACTGTTCTCAGTACTAGCCATCTGTAATTTTAAATTGATAAGACTAGACGGAACACAAACAACCAAATGCACCAAACACCAAGTTTTGCACTCCTCAAATCAAATACTGGGATTTGACTGTCAGTCTTATAATGCACTCAAAACCCCAAAGTGTGGAGTGCTTTTTTTTTTTTCAGTAACAAGATGTGAAACATGGACCCTCAGATCCATATGCCTGCAAGTTAATGAATATGGGAAATGACAACTTAGCTCTAAAGTCAAGAAAGAATGAATAGTTCAGTTTAAAATTATCTACAATAATGTGGATGAATATATACATTATGGTACATATCTGCTCTACTTAATACATCAACTCCTTATTTTAATTTCTATTTAGTTCATATTTTGTTTTAGAAAATAATACTAGTCAGTGTGTTTATTCATGTACATACAAAACCTAAACTTTTTATTAAAAAGAAATTTACCACTTTCAATACAAATATAGCAAAATGAGTGAACAGAAAAAGATAATAGTAAATAAAGCATTATGTTCATCATCAGTAGTATATTTCTTTATATTTTCTGTTTTCAAATATGTATTTCAGAAGAACAAGCAATACATAAGGACACTTGAAATACATGTTTTAACCTACATGTAGTCCATGACATAGTCCATCAGGTTAGCAACTGGTGGTCCATCAGCAGGACTGTGTTCAAAGTTCAAACCAAGAACTCCATCTTCCCCCACTATAAACTGATGAACAAAATTCTTTCAGTAGGAAGAAGTGAAAAAAGAATCTCAAACTTTCCAAGATAATAAGAAACAGTAATTTCCATGCTAACTAACAGGTTGCCTTGTGCAAAGCTTAAACAATTAATAATATTATGAACATTTTATTTAACTTAAAACATATCAGTCAATAAACTATACTTTTACAAAAGAGGTTAAGGGGTTCATTTTTATACATTACCCTTATTTCCCTTCAAATACTTCAAGTTGTGTTTCATGCAAAATGAATGAATAGTAGTATATTTTTAAAAAGTATTGACTTATAAAATTACACTTAATATTGCAAAAATGCACAAAATAATTTTAAGATGCTGACAACATTCAGTGAAAGAAAAGCGGCCTTACTTGCACGGCTTTATCAAACCACCTGTTGCCACTATTTCCACCACTACCACCTCCATGAATAACCTGAAGTGAAGCATGAGTCAGTCTATTGGGTGCACCTAAATCAGGCATTGGCTTATCTAAACACAGCATGAAGATACCTCTCTGGATTGTACTTACAGACTCTTTGTTTGGTGAAACTATAAGAATAAGTAATTGAAATGAAACTTAAACTCTTTCTAAACATACAAGACAGTATAACTAGTCTTGGAACAGAATATTCTTTAAGCTGGTGTCAGACAAGGGCCTTACAAGCTTTACCACAAAAGTTAATTAATACTTCCATAATTTAAGTTGCTACACTGAAGTTTAGTACCAAACAATTGATCAACAATTTTCAATTACATTTTTCTCTCAGAATAATATATATTATGTCAGAAAGGAAGATTTATCACAACCAAAATTTTATGATTCATATAATTGAATCTGCCTCTTTGACCACCTACACCTTTTTTGGCAAATTAATTTATAATTTAAATTAGCTCACAATACTCAAATAATTATTGCTATTCCGGCAAAATAGTTATATAAAAAAAAAATGGTCATGTGAAATAGTTTAGATAAACCAAATATTTTACAAAGTAAATTCCAGAGTTGGTACTTGCTGTACTCTACAGCTGTAAAGAATGTGTATCGGGACTTGTTAGCTAGAAGTAGCAAAACATTGATTCAGTAATACAGAAAAATCTTAATGATATTCTGACTTACAGGAATTTTCAATTTGTTTCTACAAATCCCAACACAAAACAAATGAGCAAGATACTTGAAGCAAAAAAACAAAAAAAGATTACTTCAAATCATTATCACTTACTGAAAAGAACTAAGTTATACATGCAAGGGAAACCTCAGAACACCCAAAAGTTGTAGTACAGAATTTATAACTTTACTGTAACACCAAGAAATAGACTTACTTTTCAAAAACATCTGGGTAGAATTTTAAGTACTTTTGTTTTTCATTGCAATTAGTAATATACTTTTATCACCAGAAGGAAAAAATTAAGATTATGCTTTGTTTATTTTTGTTGTTTTTTCAAGCAAAGCCATACTGGGATACCTGCAGTGTCTACAGCAGGGAATCAAACCCTGTATTTTAGCATTATAACTCTGTAGACTTACTGCTGTCCCACAGGAGATTAAGGTGATACATTTTTGCTGACTTCAGATGTTTTCTAAAATGTGTGGTGTGATCAACCAGATATTGTTACTACTATTTGTAATTTGACACTTAGGTACTATTTGTTAAAGCACAAAGCTACACAATGGTCTATCTGCAGGGACGAAACTATTAATTTCAGCATTGAAAGACCTGAAGCTTACAGTTGAACCATGGGTGGGTGGGTGGCTTTTAGGCATTTTTAGAGTGAAAAGGGTTCATATTCTTCATACTGCTAACCTAACCACAGTACTTTCAAGTAATATTGACAAATAAACCCACAGTCATACATGCCTATACCTCAACTACTTAAATGCAAAAGTACACACAACTGTAAATGAGAAAAATGGCAGTTGCCAATCACACCTTTATTAAATTAATGTTTCCTACAACATTCACCTGTATTTCCTCTGAAATATATGTGAATTGATAGCATGTTCTGCAAGACACATTTTTTCTATCAGATCTTCATCAGCAATGTTTGAAGTACCAATGTCTGTTACAAATATTCAACATACAATCACCTCTGAAAATAGTTATATAGTTTAAAATTATTAAAACTCAGGTACAGTCTATTCTGGTAAAAAAAAAAAGGGTGAGGTATTAGAAGTTTTTTTTAAACTGGTTTGTAGAGCTAAATGTGAAAATGAAATTGGAAAAGTAAAGTTATCATGAATGTCAACTTGATAGAGAAGATGTCCTTTAGATCTAATTCTCCTGCTAATTTATCTTCATTTTATTAAAACAAAGTTCACTTTAATTTAATTTTGTACACTCTTTAGGACTGTTAGAAACGTATTATGTTTTACAGTATTTGATTAGTGTGATCTTTATTTAATGAATATGAAAAATCAGATTGGGAAAGTAAACTTAAGAAGTCAGAATTTATCATTCCAAATTATGATATGAAGACAACATAACTTGGAGCTAGTTCATCTCACAATATATCTCAGGAAAAGAAAAAGATGAATCCAAGAAACCATAGGTGGTGAAGAGACTTGTACAACTAAACTACATGAAAGGATGAAGCAAGTAATACACCACACACACATATGAAGAGAACTTAACTGTCATGACAAAATGTATATTGGCTTGCTTGGACCCGTTTGGCTGCATTTGAGGTTTCTATTTAGTTATTACAAGCCACCTATTTATGGATGTGTAAATGAAAGACAGATGAGACATTTATAATGTGCAATTTTATTTACCTAAACCAAACACGTAAACATTTTAATAATACATCAAAAAATCTTACAGATTTCTGTGTACCTTACTGTTCTTGTAGTACCCTTATAACAGGTAACTGAGTTTTCATATGTGCTGGCATGTCAAGCTATTAGCTCCTACAGTTGGACTGATATTTTGAAGCTACTAGCTCTGCTTCTCATTCAAAAACTACTAAATATGCTACGATTAAAAATAAAAACATTTCAGCATAGGCGAAAAATAAAAAAAAAAATTAGACAAATAATTGGTTTGAAGAATCACATAAAATGTCAGTCTCTATAACCTTTCAAATACATTGTTTTTCCAAGGTCATTATCAGCTCATTTTAATCTTCAAAAATCCTTGAGAAACTAACACAATGTAATATGGTATACATGAAAACATATTGTTGCGTCAGCGAGGTCACGTGATAGTGTCACGCCACCTCTCGAACCTTCGGGAATAGTCGGGAGATTACTAGATATAGGGTGGTCTGGTATATATATAAGAGGGTGACAACGTGACGGTATAATGTGTGTGTAGACAGTGAGTAATTGATCTGCAGTCAGAGAGTATTATTGAGCACGTTCATTGTTATAGCGTTTGTTTTAGCGCGATTGTTGAAATTAAGTGTATCGTAAAGTTATATTCGGAAAGAATAAACCAGTTTTATTAAGTAAGGACTTGTGTCGCTAAAGTTTCGTCGGAACAAAGTTACGGAAAGTTGATTAACAAACGGAGACATAACAATATGATTTACCCAACACACTGATATAAAGCTTGTGAAACCAACAAAATTATTGAAGTTTTTGTTCTGTTTTTGATTATTAATAAAAAAAAACGTTTATCCAAGATATTATTTCCAAAGCAATAAAAACTTTTGCAAATCCTTCTTTACATTTTGCATTAGCACAACACTTTCTAAAAAAAATTTATTTGTGTATCAGGATTTCAGATAATTATAGTGGAAGTTATAGTTTTTAAATATGTTATGTCTACTGATTTTATGCATTGAGCCTCACTGAATATATGGAGTTTTCTGTATTATCGTATTTGTCCACCTACATTTGCTGTAGCATGTTCTCCATTTATTTAATTAGTAAAAAAGTAAATCTAGTATCCATCTTAAGAGAAAGGTACTACTGAAAATGTGCAAACAAGTCTTGATTGTTGCTATTCTCTACCATTACTTTTGTTTAATTAACAAACAATAAAATCTAATACCTTTACAAAGCCTTTTGTAGGCACTTGCCCAGCTATCTCGATGTTGTGTGGTGAGAACACCAATGGGATCTTTGTAGTGTTGAGATTGTTCTACCACCATCTGTAACTGAGCCAGAAGCTGATTCTCATCTAATGGTAACCCATCTCCTCCAAAAACATCTACTTGAAAATACTATAGATTAAAAAAACAAATTAATTTTTCTTGTATTCTAATACTGAACTTTTTACTTTGTTCACATATATTAAAGATATATTTTTAAGTTACAGTCACATCACTTTGTTTCATACATCTTCACATTTATTCTACCCTTGTGTTCCTCTGAGGCTCTTTCACTGTGTTTGTCTGCTTTAACACAGAATATTGAAATAAGCTCATAAAACAACCACTTGAATTTTAGAACCATATAAGCTATATTTCACAATACAAGTAATGTAATTCAAAAAACTTAAAACAATGAACAACTATGCATGAATCATGACTAGATTAAGAACTAGACTGTCACCATCAAAATGACCTACATTTAGGCCACACACAAAAGTTAGCATTTTCCCACACTGAAAATGTGTTTCCAATAGATACTTACCTCAACTCACAAAGTAGCTTTTCTTAAATAGCACTGCCCTCTATTGGCCTAAACTTTCAACAAACGCCACTAGCCTTCCACCTCCCGCTTCTACACATTCACATACAAATGATAATGCAGCAGTTCTCCACCAATAGAAGCGCGACACCACTCTTATCGTAAGCAGTGCCCTCTTCACACCTGCTCGTTAATCACTTTGAGATTGGTCAGAAAATTTACACCATATATTATCGAAAGTGGGGAGACTGGGTGAGAGGAGGTATCTATCCGAAATAAATTTTCAGTGTAGGAAAATGCTAGCTTCTGATATGATACCTTATCTCCGCTCACAAAATAGCTAGAACCCACATTGAACCAGTGAAGGGTCAATAAAAAAATCATCCCTCTTTAGGAAGCACCCAAAGAGAGGTGTGAAACCAAAAGAGAAAACATCACACCACAGCATGAGACCACACCACATCTGATCCAGGTATACTCTTCGCTCTTTTATGATAGTGTCGCAAACATAAAAGGCGGAACAACACGAAGGAATACCAGAATATACATAACCAGTGAATGGGACTCCTGGGTGGCTAGAGCATGACTGACCACAGTGGTAATTCAACCTTATCCAACACTAGGCAGTATCTGGAATGGTACATCAGATCTACAGTAGGTAGAGGATTACCTACCTCTTCACCTTGAAACAGGAATTGGTAGGGAAGACGAGTTTCCGTACCAAATATCCATCACCAATTGCACCCATTTACAACACAACCAACACCAGAATCACTGGGAACCAACATCCATCAGATGGTAGGAAGGTGAAAACCCCCGGCGGGATGACATCTACGGTCCAAAACTTGACTGCAATGGATATAGCATTTTCAGTCTGCAGTAGGAAGATGGTATCTGGCTGTACGCAAGCGGAAAAATGTGCTGTGTCCAGCTACAACCAACACCAGATCCACCGGAAACCAACATACAGCAAATGGTAGGAAGGGGGACCACAAACCTGGGGTGCATCTCCAGTCCAAAACCTGGCAGCATTGGGCATTTTTCATCCAGTCTGCAGTAGAAGAAGCACACATATAAGGACTTACTTAGTTGAACCATCTCCAACCAACACAAGACCCACTGGGAATGTGTATCTAGAGGATTATGGGGAGGAAGAAAGTCTCAGTCTGAGGGGGTAAACTGCAATTATATATATATATATATTTGTGACATGGTAGAGTGCTTCAACCAAAACCTGATAGAATCTGGAATTCTACATCAGGTCTGCAGTAGGAAGGGCATCATGCCATCTACAAATGATACAAATTGTGTCTGGACCATCTCCAAGCAAAACCAGACCCACCAGGAATGTATATCAGGAGCCTGGTAGGAAGGAGAAATGACCAAGGTAGGGAAAAACAATCTGGGTTTAAATCTATAGACAGGAGTACGGCATAAGGCAATAACAAAACCTGGCGCCAACTGGAATTGGTACATCAGGTCTGGTGGTAGG